ATTTGGCTTTACACAACGAATATAGTGAGGCTCGGTAGCGTTTAGTGTTTCAAGCAAAGATTGCAGTTGTAGCTTCGTAAAACATGCATCAAGAATAATACAGATAAGTACAACGCAGATAATTTGCATTATAGGCTTGGCAAAACAAAACAGACCTTAAACTGAGTGGCTATAGAAGAGAACTTTGTCGATTTTGTAGTTTCCTCGGGTAAAGGAGGGAACAACCCTGAAACAAAAGGGCACTTCGAAGCACTGAGTAGAGCAGCATGCTCTGGAACAACGTAGTCTTTATTTTTATCAAGGAAAAAATCAGTTTGATAAGTGACCTGAAATTGAAAATCATCATATATAAATCCTTTTTCCAATGTTGTTAATGGTAATAACTATGCAAACAGAAATGTATTTCACTTACATCACCAGCATAATGCTTAATGGTGAAGTCAGTGCGAGAGAACTTTGGCTTGTTGAAGCGTTTGTTGTCTTTGAAGGTTTGATACAGCTTTTCAGCAAATGTTTCATGCGTTGATCTTGGAAACATACTACAAAGAATAAGCAGGACAACCTCACAATCTCAAAGGTCATGCATATGCAGATGCCATTGCATATCTATATAGAAGTATATTTAATGCAAAAGTGAATAATATTAACCAATCCGTATCTAATTGAATAACCACAGTCAAGTGTTTGAGCCACTCAGTATTGAAATACATACCAGGCCTCATCCAGGAGAGCAATAACACCACCAGGTTTCTGAAATTATAGGAATACATCAATTAGAAATGTAGAATCCAAACAAACAAGTACATCTCGGTAAAGTTCAAATACATGTGAAGTTAGATGTACAAGCAATCAATGCACTCTGTTTGTAAATAGCTAGTAAGATGAAAGAAATTTACTTCATTTTATAAGAAAGTCTATGTAATTATAACATTAATACAATAACGACTATTCACTATTCTCAACAAATGTACGTTACTGATAAGTTTTTATTTGGATGGGAAGTTTTAGAAAACAGACATCATGAAAATGTTGTGCAATACATGTATTATCATCACTAATATTGTCTTATGTAAATGGTGAAGCCATCGAAATGTGAATAAAAATGCATGTTATAAAATCATGAGATGCCAAATTGATAAAACTCTCCTACAATTGAAAAATGGATGAAAGTGTAAATTACACCTTCTCTATGAGATCAATAACATCTTGATTATCCACGAACTCAATATAACTCCAATTAATCTCTTCATTTGTATACTCCTCTTGCTCCATCTTGAAGACGTGCTGCATAATGAAATGTTAATTGAGCCTTCAGAAATTGTTTACCACAAAAATGAATTCCAACAAGATGGAGAAAACAAAAGAAACTAACCTGGTTGAAATGCTGCTGTAATTTCTCATTTGTTAAATTGATACAAAATTGCTCAAAGCTGGGCGTGACCATTAGATAGAAGAGTTCCAAAAGTTAGTAACAAGGCACATAAAAAGGTCGATCCAAAAAATTAAATGATAATCACTAATTATAGAGTGTAATATCAGAAACACAATAATTCCGGAATGGTGACAGAGACACTGACAATAGAGCAATACTTAACATGACTATCAACACACACTATTTTTGTCATCTTTACAACAACTTTAGTTAAAGCCATGCTACATTAAATCTTGTCCCATTATCACTTCAGTGTTCTTTTGAACCATTTATCTTGTGTCCATCTAGCAAAACAAAATCTATGGCAGCCAAAGAAGACAAGACCCACATTCGTGAATATTGTAACCTAATGCTTTAGAAAGAAATTAATGGCTTTATGAACTTGTGTATCATAATTCACTGACACAGAGCACAGAAGTTCCTATAGTTAATAATCCCACTTCATGTGAAACAGATGGGAAAAAAAGGCAAATGGAAGAGCACCTGTTGGTTTTGAAACTCTCAAATCCATATATATCAAGAACTCCAATCAATTTAGTTGAATCTGGATCTTGCCCAATAGTGTTGTTTATCTTGCACACAATCCTACATCAACAAATGTTTGCACAAATCGAATTACAAAAACTTAAACATATTGAAATTAGATTTTATAAGGACAGGTAAACTTATTGAACATCATAGATATACCAGTCAAAAAGCCTTGAATAAACTATTTTAGCCAATGCATCTCTGCTGAGGGCTGCAGCAGTTGGATCAAGTGATTTTGTTATGGTGTCACCACGAGTCACCATAACACGTTTGCAGAAAGAGTCTTCAAGGGACTTCTCGTCACACCTTCCACAATCAAACAAATAACCATAGATGCAATAGCTTGAAGATTAATCTTCGTAAGAAACAAGTAAATTGGCGACTTCACTTACATCAAAAGCTCGGCTGCTGTTTTTAGGTGGTAAATGGATTTTTCATCCTTGGGCTGAGAGGAATCCAACTCATCTTCCGAACCCTTAATAAACTCAATGTTTCCTAAATGAAGTACTGCAGCTACTATTCGAAATATAGCATCCTGAGAAGAGGGATGAGGAATTTTTCTAATGACAACAATAAAAAGAAAAAAGAAGAAACATACACACACTCTCCAATGGGAATGTTACTGAGGGGTACCTGCTCATCTCCGCTGATCCCAACAACCTCCATAGCTCTCCTAGTTGCAAGGTACTCCTTAGAATCATCCAACCCATCCAACTCAATGCAATTTGATTGATTAAGGTAATGGAATTTTCTTGGATCTCCCAATTTGTACTTACCAGATTCCTAGACATGGGAAAACTCAAATAAAAACAATGAATCTTATAAGCTAACTTAATAAACTTCAAAACACAACTTTTGAAGCTCATATGCATGTAGAGAATGCTCATGAACTTTTTGTTATGAAACCATGAATCCTGTAAGCTACTTGGATCAAGGTAGTGACGAGGGAATTGGATAATTTGAGCTTATAAAATTTAAACCTCTTTGTCATTGTTGTACCAAAACAAGGAAGAATAATAATGTACCTCTTTTGGTGCAGCACACAGCATATAAAAGCAATGATAGTTTCTCTCAGGATCAGAAACTTGACAAACACGGGATCGTTCCAGCAAATATGTTCTGATAGCAGCTCCTGAAATTCTCCCCTTTTGATCAAACTGAATCTCCACAAACTTACCAAAACGACTGAAATTATACTATGTAAGCTTAGGACAGACTTTAAATCAATTTAGGCAAAAGAGNTTTCATATACAAAACCATTGTTGCAATCTTATACACATGTATAATCGATATAGCACGGCATTTTCACATTTAAAGGGATAAAATAACACTTTCCAAACATTAAAATCATTTCAAACAGATTCATAGTTAAATTAGTTGGTGCTAACTGGTTTACAGCATTGAGAGGACTCTGAAAGAGAGAGAATGAGGAATCTAAAAGTTGCAGTGTTGTCAGTGCCTTTATATGTACCCAACAGTATATATGTTGTTAGGTTACATCTGTCAGAGTTACTGTATAATAGAGAACTGGAGTTTAACTAACTCTAGTAACTGACAATCGTCAGCTTACAAAGCCCAATTGAACTTGGTTTCAACCCTTATCTCTAAAAGCATGAGATAATACAAAGAATAGCCACATAACTGACTTCTTTACAAAATTATATAATCTAAGAGCAAAGCAACATATAGTAGTATACAATAGTGATATTATGAAATTTATGGCAATAAAACTGATGAATTTATGAGAGACAATAAAATCAAATTGTTTAAGAATGCCAGTTACTTTTAAAATGAAAAACACTTGAAGTTCGCTAATGTTTGAAGAATCAAGTAAAGTAATCAAGAGGGAAGAGGGAGCACCATTTTAAGCTTTCGAAGTTCTCTCCGTGCTATTGTTCTCCTCCAGGAACACTGTGCAAAAATTGCTGCTTTCTTTAGCTTCAGGTGATAAGTACGAGCCGAATGACATCTTTGCCGAGCCTATGATAAGGAAAAAACAAATTAAATTAATCATATTTTATGTATAACACACCAAATATCGTATAGTAGGAATATATGATCACTGTTGAGACAACCAATTGCTGTAACACTTTCCAGTGCTTAAAGTAAAAGACACATTTGGGTTGAACATCTGCTTAACAGAGAAATTGAATATCAATATATGATGGGGAGTCCAGTAAACAAAGTTCCTTCCATTATGGTGTCAATGGAGGGTAAAAAGTTTGCATCTTAATACCCATGATTGAAAGAAAACAAAGGTAATATTTCAGACAGTAGTCCTCTTAACTAAGAAGAAAACTCTCCTCTGTCCTACCTGAATGATAATTGCAGCTTTTGTCCGTCTCCTAAAGCTAAGATCATTTCTAGCAGCCATCCCTCGCATACCAGTTTGAATACAAATCGCTGAGGCATATTTAGTTTTGTAAGACTTTCTGGAAATATACATGCGGAAATCTTTCTGAAGTTTTATAGAAGCGGCTTCCCTCCTCATGCATTCATACTGACGTCGTGCAAGTTGTCCTGCATTAAATGCAGAGCACAGAAATGTGTAATCAACACATAATTGTCTTTCATTGATTACATGGTAAAACACTTGAAAAAGGCCTTAAGGATTCACATAAATGACACCTTTCGCAACCCTTTGAAGTTCTATGGCCGACAACTGCAATGAGACGTATTGTTTCCGACAGAGAAACGTGCGGACTTTTCTCTGAATAACACTTGCAGACAATCCTAGGACCTCAGCACGACATGCATCTAGTTCTGCCATTTGACCTGCTCTTAGAAACACTTTTGTCTTTCCAATCTGCAATGGGAATAGTTCAGTCAGCAAGAGTAACTTTGTTTGTACTAGCTGGAACAACTCCTGTTTTCTCCATGGTGTTAATTAAACCATTGGAAAAGGAAAAAAGAAAGTCTTCAAAAACATTTAATTCCCATCCATGTAACCAGCAAGAAATTTAAATGTTACAACTGAGATCAACAGAAACTCCGGTTGGATAAATTGGCACCTGATAGTCTTTAAGGTTCGCTCTATCTAGAAGCCTCTTGCAAGCCGTCACCTCATCAGGGCTGTGAATACATGGTTAAGGTTTTGAATGAACCACAATCAGATTCATATAAGATGAATGGAAAAGGAAAAACAGAAAATGGAAAGGGATGAAAATACCATGCTTTCAGAACTGAAGGTTCCAGGATGGTAAACCGCTGAACAAATTCATCAAAGGACTTTCTAGTGGGATATCCAGCACAACTTATCCGAATTGCCTCCATTACTCCCTGTGAATGGCATCCACAAAGTCTCAATTCACTTGGCCAGAATAATCATGTCAGACAAGAGAACACAGCCAAAATGGCATTGAACTTACTCCACACCGAAGCTGCTGCAACACATTATTGTTCTCGAATATCCCAGGCTTGAGAAGATTATTTGGCTTTACACAACGAATATAGTGAGGCTCGGTAGCGTTTAGTGTTTCAAGCAAAGATTGCAGTTGTAGCTTCGTAAAACATGCATCAAGAATAATACAGATAAGTACAACGCAGATAATTTGCATTATAGGCTTGGCAAAACAAAACAGACCTTAAACTGAGTGGCTATAGAAGAGAACTTTGTCGATTTTGTAGTTTCCTCGGGTAAAGGAGGGAACAACCCTGAAACAAAAGGGCACTTCGAAGCACTGAGTAGAGCAGCATGCTCTGGAACAACGTAGTCTTTATTTTTATCAAGGAAAAAATCAGTTTGATAAGTGACCTGAAATTGAAAATCATCATATATAAATCCTTTTTCCTATGTTGTTAATGGTAATAACTATGCAAACAGAAATGTATTTCACTTACATCACCAGCATAGTGGTTAATGGTAAAGTCTGTGCGAGACAACTTTGGCTTGCTGAAGCGTTTGTTGTCTTTAAAGGTTTGGTATAGCTTTTCAGCAAATGTTTCATGCGTTGATCTTGGAAACATACTACAAAGAATAAGCAGGACAACCTCACAATCTCAGAGGATATGCATATGCAGATATCATTACTCAAAACATATAGATGAATATTAATGAAAAATGTATCAGATTAGTCATTCCATATCTAAAAGAATAACCATAAGACAGGTATTTGAACTATTCAGTCATTAAATACATACCAGGCCTCATCCAGGAGAGCAATAACACCACCAGGTTTCTGAAATTATAGGAATACATCAATTAGAAATGTAGAATCCAAACAAACAAGTACATCTCGGTAAAGTTCAAATACATGTGAAGTTAGATGTACAAGCAATCAATGCACTCTGTTTGTAAATAGCTAGTAAGATGAAAGAAATTTACTTCATTTTATAAGAAAGTCTATGTAATTATAACATTAATACAATAACGACTATTCACTATTCTCAACAAATGTACGTTACTGATAAGTTTTTATTTGGATGGGAAGTTTTAGAAAACAGACATCATGAAAATGTTGTGCAATACATGTATTATCATCACTAATATTGTCTTATGTAAATGGTGAAGCCATCGAAATGTGAATAAAAATGCATGTTATAAAATCATGAGATGCCAAATTGATAAAACTCTCCTACAATTGAAAAATGGATGAAAGTGTAAATTACACCTTCTCTATGAGATCAAGAACATCTTGATTATCAACGAACTCAATATAACTCCAATTAATCTCTTCTTTTGTATACTCCTCTTGCTCCATCTTGAAGACGTGCTGCATAATGAAATGTTAATTGAGCCTTCAGAAATTGTTTACCACAAAAATGAATTCCAACAAGATGGAGAAAACAAAAGAAACTAACCTGGTTGAAATGCTGCTGTAATTTCTCATTTGTTAAATTGATACAAAATTGCTCAAAGCTGGGCGTGACCATTAGATAGAAGAGTTCCAAAAGTTAGTAACAAGGCACATAAAAAGGTCGATCCAAAAAATTAAATGATAATCACTAATTATAGAGTGTAATATCAGAAACACAATAATTCCGGAATGGTGACAGAGACACTGACAATAGAGCAATACTTAACATGACTATCAACACACACTATTTTTGTCATCTTTACAACAACTTTAGTTAATGCCATGCTACATTAAATCTTGTCCCATTATCACTTCAGTGTTCTTTTGAACCATTTATCTTGTGTCCATCTAGCAAAACAAAATCTATGGCAGCCAAAGAAGACAAGACCCACATTCGTGAATATTGTAACCTAATGCTTTAGAAAGAAATTAATGGCTTTATGAACTTGTGTATCATAATTCACTGACACAGAGCACATAAGTTCCTATAGTTAATAATCCCACTTCATGTGAAACAGATGGGAAAAAAAGGCAAATGGAAGAGCACCTGTTGGTTTTGAAACTCTCAAATCCATATATATCTAGAACTCCAATCAAACTATTTGACTTTGGATCTTGCCCAATAGTGTTGTTTATCTTGCACACAATCCTACATCAACAAATGTTTGCACAAATCGAATTACAAAAACTTAAACATATTGAAATTAGATTTTATAAGGACAGGTAAACTTATTGAACATCATAGATATACCAGTCAAAAAGCCTTGAATAAACTATTTTAGCCAATGCATCTCTGCTGAGGGCTGCAGCAGTTGGATCAAGTGATTTTGTTATGGTGTCACCACGAGTCACCATAACACGTTTGCAGAAAGAGTCTTCAAGGGACTTCTCGTCACACCTTCCACAATCAAACAAATAACCATAGATGCAATAGCTTGAAGATTAATCTTCGTAAGAAACAAGTAAATTGGCGACTTCACTTACATCAAAAGCTCGGCTGCTGTTTTTAGGTGGTAAATGGATTTTTCATCCTTGGGCTGACAGGAATCAAACACCTCTTCCACTCCCTTAACAAAATCAATGTTTCCTAAATGAAGTACTGCAGCTACTATTCGAAATATAGCATCCTGAGAAGAGGGATGAAGAATTTTTCTAATGACAACAATAAAAAGAAAAAAGAAGAAACATACACACACTCTCCAATGGGAATGTTACTGAGGGGTACCTGCTCATCTCCGCTGATCCCAACAACCTCCATAGCTCTCCTAGTTGCAAGGTACTCCTTAGAATCATCCAACCCATCCAACTCAATGCAATTTGATTGATTAAGGTAATGGAATTTTCTTGGATCTCCCAATTTGTACTTACCAGATTCCTAGACATGGGAAAACTCAAATAAAAACAATGAATCTCATAAGCTAACTTAAAAAAACTTCAAAACCCAACTTTTGAAGCTCATATGCATGTAGAGAATGCTCATGAACTTTTTGTTATGAAACCATGAATCCTGTAAGCTACTTGGATCAAGGTAGTGACGAGGGAATTGGATAATTTGAGCTTATAAAATTTAAACCTCTTTGTCATTGTTGTACCAAAACAAGGAAGAATAATAATGTACCTCTTTTGGTGCAGCACACAGCATATAAAAGCAATGATAGTTTCTCTCAGGATCAGAAACTTGACAAACACGGGATCGTTCCAGCAAATATGTTCTGATAGCAGCTCCTGAAATTCTCCCCTTTTGATCAAACTGAATCTCCACAAACTTACCAAAACGACTGAAATTATACTATGTAAGCTTAGGACAGACTTTAAATCAATTTAGGCAAAAGAGCGTGCAGAGGAAATTGACAAAGAAGAGGAAAAACGATCTAATATGTGACAACAAACTCATTACCTCAGAATTATTATTCCTAACTGTCTTTGCAGTTGCCAAATGCTTCTAAAACTGGATTGGACTGCACAAGTTGTGCATAACAAAAAATAAGTAATAACTCCAAAATTAAATTTCTCAAGAATGTATACTAAACTTATCGGACCGTTGACAATCATAATAATACCGTGAGTGGGATTAATATCTGGTCCAGTGAGCTTGGAAAAACCCGTGGTTGGACAAGAAAACCAAAAAGCAGAAACATAATCAAAATGCAGGTCATGATTTAGTTTTTTACCTCGAGAACTTGTTGCTCCACAGACCGTCCTTCAGTTGCTGCTCTCCCTCCCAAAAAAGCAAGATAATGCATAAGCATCTTTGTACTCTCTGTCTTGCCAGCTCCACTTTCTCCACTAACCAAATAGATTGGCTTTTTTCTTCGTTTATCATCTTTCTGTAGACAGTTATCTTAGTCAGTTGAAAGCAGACATGTCTTATTCTTTATTTTATATCGTTGGCAATTGCCATGAACCTTAATACTGGCAAAAGTTGCATGCAAAAGCTAAAAATAAAAACTCTCAAATGGTATGCGCTCCATGATACACCAAACTTATTTGTTTCTTAATTATCTAGACCTGTTATCGTCTTCAAAGCATAGAAACAGGTTAAAGCCGCCAACCAAAGCATAGAAAACTGAGAGCAGCAACAAGGTACCTATATGCAGAACTTGCAATTGCAAAAGGATGCGGGCTCTGCTCACCAAAAGCCGCAGCTTTATACTTTGCCATGGTACTAGTTTCAGTCAAATGAGGTAACCTTTGAAAAGGGTTCACAGCTATCAATATATTTCCTGTGTAAGTCTGCAAACACCACCACAAAAAGTTAAAAGTTCATTGTAGTGAGTGTCGCAGCAAAAGAAAGCACATCCGAAATATAAATTTGACATCTATACTAGATATCATTTAGGGAATATCGAATATGCAAATTCTGAAGAACTCCTGGTTCATGCAGATATGCCAGTCTTGTCATATCTTCCACACCAGCAGGTGGGAATTCTGGATCTTTGGGATACATGTTAGCGGATTTGCTCACAACCTGCAATGGAGATGCACATGGTGTTGAGTGCTTTCAATAGTTTAATAATCTCTTTGCGTAAGTGAATTGGTTTAACTCTGAAGTATAATGGAAAAATCTTGCAAACAAACTTCTTGACAAGATTTTAGATTAAACTACAGAATTCCTTGCTAAAGAAGTATCCATGATGTGAACATCAGATGCATAGGGAAGGTTCAAACTCTATCACATACTGTGATATTCCTTTTCACCCATATAATAATGCATCACACACCCACAATAGCCTCAAAAAGTACAAAGCAATGGAGAAAGGAACTACATATACCGGAAGGAGAAAATTTTGTTTGCACCATTTGTGTGTGTGCTACAGATTTACCATAGATTCAGGAGACTCACCCTCGTGCCCGATTCAAAGAGAATCGTGACCTCGTCCTTTTAGATTCCTGGATTTCTCCTCTATCCAAGCTAACTCAGGGTCCTCTACCCAAACATGGGACCCCACTACAAGATTCAGTTGACCAGCCTGTGCATTCAAAAGAATAATCAGTGCCTTATCATCACAGTAAAATTTCATTTCAATTTATACTGGCATCATTTGTTGACGTGAAAACCAGCTGGTGAGACTTTGCTCCCACATTACTTGTAAAGGTCAATCACATAAATGAACGCCAACACTTTTTTACATGACAACATAGTAAATGCCACCTAGTTAAGCTCCTATAAACTTCAAAAACATTGTCATCCATAATTAAAGTAAAAAAAAAACACTTCTGCATGATATTTGTTAAGGCGCATTTGTTTTTAACCACAAACATTTCTGGTTATTTTTCTGAGAATAAAACCGTGCATCCACATCTACTTAAACCATCCCGATATATGATATCATACATCAACTTCAGAGAAACTAGAATCAGACATAATCTAGCCATATTAAGATTTGTCTGGCCCAAAATGTGCTAAAACACTTTAAAGCACTTGTCACCAAAGAATTTCAACCATCTCCATGTTCTTGGACTAAAACAAATGAGGAAAAGCTTCCAATGGTTGCTGACACTAAAACAACGCCAGGTGAATGAAAACTGCTTATTTGAAGTAAAGCAAATGACTGTAAAAACAACGGACTGTCTAACTAAAGGGCACGAAAGGAAAAGTAACACAATGTGAAATTGAAAGTGCAGAAAAATTATTACCATTGCCAAAAATGTTATGCGCCCAAATGAATCGGAGGATCAGCTATCAACCTTGGATTGCATCACCAGATCTACCAAGCAATGTGAGAAATGACTTGAGAATATTGAATATCTAAGGAGCAAGGACTAAATTATCTTGCTGACTATCTGTCTGTCTATCTAACTCTAACTTAAAGAAACTTGCTAGTGAATATATAAATATATTATAAGTTGGCCTTTTCTTGGTATGAAGATTGGAAGATTCAAATGGGAGTCACCCCGGGAAAGTGGCGTTGCAGAAGAGGCTTCACAATCACGTGGCTTTTCACAAGAAAGATGATCCAACCTATGCTAACCCCTCCTCTGCAACTATCTCCCTCTATTCTCTTCTCTGTGTTCTGTCTCACTTTTTTTCCTTCTATGTCCTCAAGCCAATTGTCTGGTGCGTGTTCTTCCCAACAACGCAAACAAGTTATAGCATGACACATGAAATGTGATCACAAACAACAACTATGTGTGTAGGTATATCTCCAACACTATGTATCCTAATCTTATGTAACTGGCACACCATGAAATCCAACTTCACATGCTGTCCTTATTCCTCTCAAATGCCATATACACTTCCAACTAAAATAGAAAATCTCTGAATCCCTGTTGTTTCTTCACACCTTGGATTCATTGTTCGCACATGAATCTCCCACATGCACGTATGTACTATGGCCATCATGCGATCCCCCTTTCTTGAATCCAGATACACCATGTCTTGCAAATTCTTGGTGCATGTGATGAGAGTTTTGACGTGATCAATCTCAGAAAGTGTCCTCAATCTTTTCTCCGCGCTTGACCCTTCTTCTACACCATGCGTCATCATCCACAATTGATGATCCTATGAAAAATCCAAAGAATTAAGAAATAACACAAAAATCTACACGCCTTTTCTTGAATAAAGCCTCTGGCATCCTTCCTCATCGTCGTTGAAGAACTCATCGGTGCAACATCACCAGTGTGGTAGTTTTTCACCATTGAATTGAATCTGAATATCTGATAGAAAATTTGTTTTTGGCAGAATTCAATGGCTTAGAAATGTCACTTTACTTGTTGCATTGGTGCAACGGTGGCATGTTAACTTTTCTTAACAGATGATCATACCCAATGTTG